GTCGCGGGTTTCATCCACTAATGAATCTCTTTATGCTACAATGGCTGTTGGTCTTTATTGGTATGATGACCGCCGTCGCCTTAGAAGACTATCGTGGGGTCCTCATGGGAATGTGCAAAACTGCCAATGATTGTATGTGTGACAGCCAATGCCACCGAAGGAATGACTGCTGCCCTGCCATTGACCCTGGTGAACCAAAACCGTCTTCTGAAGATCGGATACAAAACTGTATTACCATCGCGCATGTATTTACGAAAGACCACATCGACGTAATCGAAAATCCGATTGCGGCGATTGCCTCCTGTCCGGAGGACGAATCACTGTCTGTCGACGTTGTCAACGCTTGCATGTCTAGCAGATTAGACAATGTGCTAATGCAACTGGAAAGCTTCGGAGAAGAAGGGACGTTCGGCTGGTTAAAGAGGCACGCAAGAGCACTGGCCCCCGTGGTGGACGTCAGGGATAGGCAAATCTATGCTAATATCGATTGTGCTATATGCAATGGTGTATTTTCTTCGAAATCCGCAAGCATCCCAATTTGGGAAATCAAGCAATCTGTCCTGCTATATCCCTTAAAGGTCACTTGCACAAGTGACGCGGCAGAAATGGCTTGTCGGATCTCTGGCGATCTTCCCGTCAGTTTACGCGCGCGCTGCACTGTAATGTCCCGGCGGATGACTGGTGGATATCCGTCCTTTGCTGCATTCGGATTTGATGATATTTTCATTCTCCCTGAGGACTACCTACTGGGTAGAAGCATCAAACTTCCATTTGATCGACCTCGAGAGAATATAACGACTGCTAATTCTACGTCTGGGGATGAGAAAAGAACAGAAAATCTGGGTGGAGACTTCGTGTTTTGGCTTCAAATAGTTATTATGTGCATATCTATTGTTGGCCTCGGCCTTCTGCTTCTGATATACGGGAGGTTTTCACAACTGCGTCGTTCCTTGGCTGGTCGGTTGACAATGGGTCTCGCGGCGGCTCTTCTGTGCGCCCAGGTTGCCTTTTTGAATGTCTCGATTATAGTCCCGCTGGTGGAAAGTAGAGGCTTCTGCATCACTATGGCGACCGTCTTTCTCTACTGTTTACTCTGCAGTTTTATGTGGATGGCTCTGTTTGGCGGCAAGTTACTGGCAACCTTCACCACGATAAAGACGTTTTTAATGCGATTTTGTCGATGTGGATGCATTGAACATCTACTAGATGGGTCATCGCGCTCAAGAGTAAGTTCTTCCCTATTTTAAATCATGTTATCTATGAAAGCTGTTTGAATGAAGCACATAGCACTGATTGAGTCGAGGCTCAAGCTTTGTCCGAAAAATCTTGGGCGAGTGGACAAATCGGGCCAGCGTTTTCATGCAAATAAGTAAACATCGTTTATTGCAACAGAAGCGCGAGGATAGCAAAAAAATAATAAAAATTCACATTATTGGTAGGAAAGTTCGATCCTTGGGATGATTTAACTAAGGCATTGAAATTTTTAATAATTGGGCCAACTGAGCCTTGAAGTCTACATAAAGGAGGAGGCATCGCCGTCCGCTCCTTGTTCCGATGAAAAACTGACAACTCTCGAAACTCATTCCATATGGTGAACAGTTGTAGTTTTCGGCGCATTGTATTGTGAAATACGCTGAATTTTCATGACGACGTACATATTTATGGAAACCTCACTTTCTCCCTCTTTTACCCATGTGCCTGTGGCCATCCGATCCTTTTAGACAACCGGCGATGAGATTTGGGCCGTTGTCCGAGGTCGCGTTAAGGCCTCCATCCGAGGCATGCTACACTTATGTGCAACAATGGTTGGTCACGAAAGCACAGCGAACTGGGCCCGACTAGCGCACGAAAGGAGTCGGAGTGACATGCCTTTAGATCCAACGCCTTAGCAACGCATCCAGATTTTCGGAGCATCATACGTGATGAGGTCACAATCAGTAGCACTTTATGCATGGGTAGAAGGCATCATGAGGTGCATGCCCATGACCAAAATAGTTTTAATAATTTGCTGCTCAGGAGACCCTGTCCTTGTAAGTATGGGTATTACTACTTACAGATCTAAATTTTTGATCATTCTACATGCTTTGTAGTTAAAACGTTTTGTTTTGCTAAGGCCAGGACGTTAGGATGCAGACAATGCTTAGCGAATTTACCTAGAATAGTATAAGAAAGTAGGCAAATAGAGGCTACCTTAAAATTAGTGCTCTAAGATCAGGACGTTTAAAATTCGATGGAGTTCCCAAGCCTGAGTTTGTTCTCCGAGGGCTAGAACAAATACAATGAAAGATTAAGTGCCGAGAAATTCTTCCTCGTCAGAAATAGCAATGCTGCAACGGGCAAAGTATTGGTTCTCATCCTGTTTCGAATGTTGTTTAAAGTAGGACTAACTTGCTTCCTGCATCCTCTACTCTGACTTATTTTTCTAGCGCAAATTGTTTTACCATATGTCGTCTAATCAACTGAGAACTTTCCCAATTTAGCTAACATTTTCGCATTCCGTGTGCAGGGACCAGCCTTTAGTTTATGCAGATGGTCATTTTCGTTTAGGTTTTATGTCCGATTTATACTTTGTCTGCCATGCCAATTGTTACTCGACTTTCCGCGAACCTGACATGATCGTGATTGGTTGTGTTCTTTTAAAGTAATGTTGTTAACATAAATATTTATTTTCCTGATCCCAACAACCGAGTAAGCAAGGAATTCCAGCAAGTTCGAAAAACTAATGGGTGGGTGCTAGACTAAAAAAACAGAAAATCTGTAAGCACTCAAGCTAAGGAGGGAACGCTCTTTTAAGGGAGCATGAAACTCTCCACTTGTCTTTCTGATTTGCTACAGAGGAAGTACAATGGTGAAAAGCTTGCACAGTTTAAACATTCTGAGACTATAAGAATAACAGAATTCAAACGACAGTTGGACGACGCTTAACGTTTATGCTGCGAGAACACCTATATTTGTGCTAGTAGTTATCATGGTCACAAAAGTAAAAGTAAAATGGCCTTACTATTTAATCACTCGTCCTCGTGGATTAGTCTCAAATACTGGCCAGCTGCTCATACAACCACTTATTGCCGATGATAGCTCCTTTTTGTTTAAGGTCAATGCAATCTTATTAGGGCAAGAACACTTTCATTGTGATCGTAGCTCATGCTTTTTCAGCGCCGTGAAAACTGTCGGCAGTCCACGTACCAAACGTGATGAAAGACCAAATGAAAGTAGTGTTACAACCACCATTGGAACAAATTTCCTGTTATGCATTACCGATGAAAATACACCTTTTCCTTAGCAGTTTTAGTATCTGATCGGGGTCTCGTAAGGCTATCGAGGTAACGGTATAATCAAACGCATAATAATCGCTGTTATTATCGAATTGCCCTTCGCTTTACGCTCGGGATTACCAACCATTACATGAGCCTTGAACTTTTATTCAGCTGAAATTCCTTCTTTAGTTTCCTGCACTTCCTAGAGGAGTTCTGAACGCTCAGAACCTTATCAACATTTTTGTCCGTCAACAAAAAACCTAACCTCAGCAGCAGGTTAATTTGCGGGAAAGCGTACGCCACTAATGCACACTTAGGTAAACAGAGGGAGACCAAATCATTGAACTAGAAAATGGAAACCAACGGCATGTATTTCAGTAACTGCATACGTTCCACCCATACGCAGGTGGTCGCCCAATTTATAACCTGCTGGCGTCATTAGCGTATTTGTTTACTGGCTAACTACCTATAGCGCGCATGACTTTCGGATTAACTGGCCAGTTTACAATGACCAAAAACGTTGTGTATTTTAAAAGTTCTGGTCATCCATCAACAAGGATTTTTTGGATGTAGGCTTCCCAATTAAGCAAAAACTGTTTCGATAAACAACAGAAGTTCTTAGTCACAGCATGAAAGCAAGTGACGTTCGTTATTTTTGGCGACCAATTTGCTTCTGTTGGGCGCATGAAATGAAACATATCGATCTAAATAAATGTGACTACCTATACAAGTTTCTGTCAAGGCGATTTAAATGAACGATATTGAACGGTATAGTTTTCTCTGTATGCACAAGGTTTGTAGATCTTAAAATAGTGGCATGGCCTCACTTAACTCAAAAATCCCTCGTACACGAAAAAAACCATCTTGTAGTCCCTGCCTTACTATTTACGGAAACTTAAGTGGCCTTAGATACCTGTAATTTCTAATTACGTGCATTCTTCTACTCCAACAGGGAATAAAAACATATCAAAACCACTTGAGTGTGCATTTTAAGCATTTTTTCCTTCTCCCGTATGTCTTAAATTTTTGACTTTCTAAAAGATACGGATTGTAGGTAAAGTAAACGCTTGCTTCAAAGTACTGCTAGTTGCTACAGGCGTATTATCGATGAACAATAAAGGCTCGTTGGTTAATGGCTTTGTACCACCTAATCCATAACTTAAGATGTTTTATCTAAGATGAGGTTTGCATTTTTCGCATACAGCGAAATAAATCATGCGATTGCTGAAGAACCTGTGCTAATTTGGGGAGTTAAGTTGCCGCTTCTAAATGTCAAGTAGACTGTGACGCTGAGAAGGATTTGCAGACATTCAAATTAGTGTTTTGAGCTGCTGGAATTTCATCTTATACCGAGAAAGTTACTCCGCCATACAGTCTCCCAGGACTTTAAAAATGCTCCGCTCTCGGATCAGGATATTAACACAACGACAGGAAGAA